TCGCTCTAGTGTGGAAGGCGTACAGCGGTTTAATCCCCGCTTGTGGGATGTAGGATGAACTTCCTCCGTCTGTGGTATATCCAACACTCGGGTAAAAAGAGACAGCCAATAGTGTACACTGAGTAAAATATAGGTGATAAAATAAATAAAACTGAATGGGTACTCACAAGACAGGCGCAGGACACCTGCTCCTTGACGTTAGCGCTGGTGGTATGATCCCCACCTAGAATTTCTTGGAGTCCAGGATGGTAGAGGGATGCCAGGTAGTAGATAGTATAAGGTGTATAAAAGATAAATGGCACGGATAAAAAGTAACCAAATATACTTTAATAATTATAAAATACACAATTAAAAGTCCATAAACGCGTTTCGCCAACACGGCGTTATCAATATCAATATATTACCCCATATTGATAACGCCGTGTTGGCGAAACGCGTTTATGGACTTTTAATTGTGTATTTTATAATTATTAAAGTATATTTGGTTACTTTTTATCCGTGCCAACCTCTCTTGCTACTTGTTTGTCTCTCCGTAATTTACAGGGACAGCTTTTCTTTAACTACTGCTACATTTCTTTCAGGTTGTTCAGTCAGCAGAAGTTATCTTGAAGGACATGACAAGAACAGAAGTACACTAGGCAAGACTATGAATGAATCTTTTTATAATAGGACCAAAGACTTTACCTCTCAAAAATCAAGGACTCCCTCTGCATCATATATGTCTACAAATGAGATAGCAAATAAAAAAACAAAACCTTTCTCATGTTCTGAATGTGGAAAATGTTTTCCTTATAACTCATATCTTGTGAAACATCAGAGAATTCACACTGGAGAAAAACCTTTCTCATGTTCTGAATGTGGGAAATGTTTTCTCTGTAAAACAGATCTGGTGATACATCAGAGAACTCACACGGGAGAAAAACCTTTCACATGTTCTGAATGTGGGAAATGTTTTGTTGCTAAATCAGAACTTGTGAAACATCATAGAAGTCACACAGGAGAGAAACCTTTCATATGTTCTGAATGTGGGAGATGTTTTAGAATCTCTCTATATCTTCTTTTGCACAAGAGAACTCACACAGGAGAAAAACCGTTCTCATGTTCTGAATGTGGGAAATGTTTTGTCTCTAAAGCAAAGTGTGTTGCACATTGGCGACTTCACACAGGAGAAAAACCATTTTCATGTTCTGAATGTGGGAAATGTTTTGTTTCTAAAGAACAGTGTGTTGCACATGGGCGAACTCACACAGGAGAAAAAACATTCTCATGTTCTGAATGTGGGAAATGTTATTACACTAAATCACATCTTGTGGCACATAAAAAGACTCACACAGGAGAAAAGCCATTCTCATGTTCTGAATGTGGAAAATGTTTTGTTGAGAACTCAAACCTTGTTGTTCATAGGAGGACTCACACAGGAGAAAGACCTTTCTTATGTTCTGAATGTGGGAAAAGTTTTGCCAGTAAACCAGTTCTTGTGAGTCATCAGAGAACTCACATGGGAGAAAAACCTTTCTCGTGTTCTGAATGTGGAAAATGTTTTGTCAGTAAACCAGTTCTTGTGAGACATCAGAGAACTCACATATAGAAAAGCATTTTTAATGTTCTGAATGCAGGAAATCTTTTGTTGTAATATCACATCTTCTGAAACATCATAGAATTCACACAGGAAAAAAACCTTTCTGAATGTGGGAAATCTTTTGTCTGTAATTTAAATCTTGTTGTTCATAAATTGACTAACACAGATGAAAAATCATTCTCATGTTCAGAATGTGGGAAATGTTTTTTCGCAAGCAGTCACATCATATTGGCTATCTGAGAACTCGCACAAAAGACACATTTTGTGCTAAATGCTAAGGTTTTATTAGGCATTAATGGATTAACATGGGAGTAGAACATTTTGTGTTGAGCATGTGAGACATCCCTAAGCTGTAATTCAAATTCTATTTACATATTATTGACACTGTAAATAGCAAATATCACTCTTTTTACATATACATGTGATATACTTGGTATTAGTACTTATCCTTTATAGTGTATCAGTTTTATAAATGGTTTTATTATACACTTGTTATAAAATAAAAAAAAAATTCTTGGTAAATGAATAGTGTTCAGCAACCTAATATTTAACTTTTTTTTTCTTTATTTTATCACAGTAATTCTTAAACCCATTAAGGACATATGACAGAATTATTTCATTGTAGATGTGGTGTTTCACAAGCAGGGACTTTTTCTGTGTTGATAACAGGCAAATTCTATCTATAACTTGATATCGGGGGCTCCTCTCATCAGCTAGGGACAGAATCAGTGGCCCCACACTGAACGATAAGCTATATGCAGCACTCAATGTTTACAAACTAAACAACTAAATTTTAATTGAACGTAAATAAAACTCTAACATAATTCCATAAGGTTTGAAAAAAATTTGTGCAAAATGAATGTACAATAAAGGAGCTACCACAGCAACTTGACACCTTATGACAATTTGCCTGAGCATCTTCAGTGTAAGTCTGCAGTGATAGTAAGAACCAGAAAAATCTGTGGCTGAGCACATACACACCCCTGGTGCCAGTTTGTCTGGACTTGAGCAAATGCTCAAGTCCCTCGATGTATAACGTATAGGAGAGGAGTTACTTCAATCTAAGGAAAAATCTTTATAGAGTAGATTCTGTGGTGTAAAGGACAAGTCCCAGAGGTCAGAGGAACACTCTTGAATGTTAGCAGGAACTTGAAACGTGTGAGATAAAGGTGGGAGTAGCTATGTAGCGGAGTGCTAGTTTAACATAGACTTTCTCCCCTGGTATTCCAAGAGTTGCTCAGGATCAAGTAAATTATCATAGGAAGAACAGTATAAGCAGTAAATAAAATAATCCACGAATATCCCATCACCTTTCCCAATAACTGGACGACACACAGTATCAGGAGCAGAACTGATGTTTAATGACACATACTCTGCTTTAATGCAATTCTCCCATGGAAGGGAGGCACCCACAGAAAATTAGGCATTCTCCAATCACTGACTGGTTACATCCCACACATCACCTTCCCTTAGCCTGAGAGATAACACAATTAACTGTACATTTGAAACATAAATTTTTACCCGTTTTCAAGATGTACCCTAAGACTATGACTTACACCCCCTGATAGCCCTGATCTGGGTGAGCAACATACTCAAAAATCACCCAGATCAGTTCAGGGGTTTGGTAATTTCTTGGAGGTCTTCGTTTTACCGACCGCACCGTTCATGTGGTGAAAACCACGAAATAAGTCAATATAAATAGGCTCTGCCTGGGTTCGTATGATTCCCCTCATTCGTGTGCCATTCATCTGTTTTCTCACGAACGGGTGGAAGTATGGAGGTCTCTGCGGTAGGGAACGACCGATTATCGGTTTTACCGATATCGGCGGATATTCGGCAATACGATACCGATATTGCCGATAATACATAACAGGACCGCCGGGCTCATTGCAAGCCTGGCGGTGCAGTGGGGGCCGGCGGTGAGCGCTCCCAGCAGCTCCCTGTGTAAATCTCGCAAGTCCCGGTTACCATGGCAACGCACCGCGTGGCACGCAAACAGCGAGATTTACACAGGGAGCTGCAGGAAAGGTAAGTAAGCGCTTACTGTCATAGCCCCCTCCCTGGCCAAGTAACAAGCAGGGAAGGGGGCCAAAAAAATTACAATAAAAACATATAAACATTAAAAATTAAAATAAAAAATGCCTTTCTCCCCCCCCATTTTACACAAATCACATCCCTTCAGGAACACACACACACTCTGCATTGTATAAACACACTACACACTCTGTATATAATGCAGAGTGTGTGGTGTGTGTATATATATAATGTAGTGTGTGTGTGTGTATATAATGCACACACTACACACGCTGCATTATATACACACATGCTGCATTATATACAAACACACTACATAATATACACACACTACACACTGTATTCATTTTATATACACACGATACAAACACACACTGCATTCATTATATAAACACACTATACAAACACTGCATTCACTATACACACACTACGCACACTGCATTCATTATACACACACTACATTCACTATACACACACACACTACGTACACTGCATTCATTTTACTCACACTACATTCACTATACACACTACGCACACTGCAGTCATTATACGCACACTACATTCACTATACACACACTGCATTCACTATACACACACTACACACTGCACTCACTTTACGCACACTACACACACACTGCATTCACTATACACACTGTGGTGGAACCAACCTCGCCACTGGCCACTGGATGAGCCTGGTCGTCCGTCTCTTGCCGCTGGACTATGGCCCCATGTTAAAAACTTTTTATTTTCCCTGCAAAAAGTCTTATTCGTGCCTTTTCTCCTGCAAATTATGTGAACAGTGTTACCCCAGATAGTTATGCCATGGAGCCCATTCGTATACTGAAAGACTATATGAAAGACATTGGCTTCATGGTGATTGAACTGTGTGTATGTGATCTGAACGCCATTCAGCAATAATGTGCGCTCAGATCTAAGCTATCTGGGGATATGTTGAATGTATATGTTTTGTGTAATATTTGCAACATTGTAAATTGTTCTGTCTTTTTGGTAACATGTGCTTAATGGAGTTTGCCTCTGTCCTTGGAGATAATTGGATTACTTCCCAATTATCTCCAGGACAGGGAGGAGGGATTATAATGCATTGTGGGTGCGTAGCGGATGGCATTGGGCTGTCCTCAAAATTGTGTGTATTCGTATGCTTTCGGTTAATTTTTGCCATATATATGTAAGTTGTATGCAGCATTCGTCTGATTGTTCGGTAAAATCACTCCAGTTATTATGCGAGTGAAACTACTGAACAATTAGACCACCCCAGGAATAAGTGTGCCTCCAATTACCGTTCGCAACAATGTTGCAAACTGGTAACTGGCAATCAGTGCAGTGTGTGCTTTGTCCTCTGGGTGGCCGCCATTCGGGAGACGAACACGTGGCGGTGGCCATCTTATACTCCCGAACAGCGGCGTTTTGCCGTCAAGTGTCTGGAACCCAAATCGGACACTTGGTTAGGAAAATACCGCTGAGACCTCCACACTGCCGTCCCTTCATGTAGAAACTACCAAATGGCTCCCTGTTTGGTAGAAAGAACCCCACAAACAAGGGGGTTTACCGAATCCTGCCAAGTCTCCATAACCCAAGCTGTTCGTGCATTTTGTTGCCTTTTTCTGTGACCGACCGCAGGGCCAAAATGTATGGAACCCATGTCGGTCTTTTTACTACCTCCAGGAATTTCTCGAACCCCTGGTCCGATCTGGGTGATTTTTGAATATGTCTCTCACCCAGATCAGGGCTACCAGGGGATGTAATCTTTAAAGGGGTACCCCTATGTTTAGGGGTACATCCAGAAAACCGGGGGAACTGTGTCCTGCATAATGGGATTGTGATTCATACTAAGGGGAGGGGATGTGTGGGTGGCAACTCATGTATGATTGGTGTACTGTATAATTACTGTAAATCCCTCCCTTGCATGGGAGAAAGCTTTAAAAGAAGGTTGAGTGATTAAAAGTTCAGTTCTGCTCCTGATGCTGTGTGTTGTCCAGTCATTGGGATCTGTATGGGGATATTCGTGGATTACCTTGCTTGCTGTGAATATTGTTCTATGGGATTTTATTACTTGTTCCTGAGCCTCACTGGGATCTTTAGTGGAGTTAACCTGTGAAAGACCAGCTCTCTGCTACAGGGAGTATTTAAATGTGTAAGCTTATGATTGGTCAATGTCCACTATGTATCCCAGTTTCCCATCTGATCCCCTAGGGGAGTGTCCACACGGTGGGAGACCGGCATAAAAGCCGGGCAGGTAGCCCCAGTAAATCAGTTCTACTTCACCCTCAATTTGGAGTGCCGTCTCTTATTGGGGGAATCTGCTTCAATGGATTGCTATGCTAGTCATACTCCCTTGCTAAATCACTTCTAAGCTCTTGTAAGAGTTTGTTCCTGTCTTGCTCTCTGAAGGAGTCTACGGTGGTTATGGTGTCGGCTGGAGTGCTTGGAGACCTCAGGAAGTGCTAGTAGCATCCTTCAACGGAGGTACCCAGTCAAGGTGCCAGGTGATCCGTTACACACACACCACACAAACACACACACTCACTCTGCATTCATGATATACACACTACACAAACAGTCACTGCATTAACTATACACACTACACAAACCCACCCTGCATTCATTATATACACACTACACAAATACACAAAGCACCCCTGTCTAAACACACTGCATCCACTGCATGTGGCATGTATATTTTGTGCATTTACCTTTAGAAATAGTTTATTTTTTAAAAATGGTAAATGCACAGAATATTGGCAAGTTATCGGCTATCGGCCTGAAAGTTCACAGATTGTCGGTATTGGCTCTAAAAAATCAATATCGGTTGATCCCTACTCTGCGGTGTTCGCGTGGTCGAGTGTCCGATTTGGGTTCCAGACACTCGACGACCAAATCACCGCTGGTGCGTTTGTATGGCAAGATGGCCGCCGCCACGTGTTCGTATGCAGAACAGCGCCCACTCAGGGAATACATATTGTGTTTGTGTGTTTATCAATCAGGAAAGTGTCTATAACGATGGGGAGGTCAATTGGAGCCACGTTCCTCTCTGGGGTGGCCTGGTTGTTCGGTAGTTTGTTCGTTTGTCGAATGGAGGTAGTTAACATGTTTGCAATGGGGTTTCTACCGAACAACCAGACGAATGCTTCAGCAGCTAACTTGTTACTTCTTTGCTTAAAAGTAACGAACTGTTGGAAATTGAACATAATACTGCAACAATCAAAGCTATGGACAGCCAAAATTAAGGACGGTGGTTTGTAGCCAAACACAATCCGCTACAAGCGCCTTTCAGGAATTCTCAGAAGTTGATACATGTAAATTGAGAAAGAGTTCTCCACAATATGCAACACACTAACGCATTTCACCATATAGGCTCAATGGTGAAACACATTGGTGTTTTTTTATTTATTATATCACTTTTACTATTACATTTTTATTTTCTCAGATATTTGCTCTAATAAATTAGTATTTTAAAAATTCTTATCCCTGGAGCTACCCTGACTTTTTCTTTGGAATCTGAAAATCTATCTCTTTGGTTGGGGATATACCATCTGAGCCCTGTGGACTGAGCAAAACCTTAAGTTTGCTCCACAGCAGTGAGTACCCATCCTATAATTTTATTATTATTTAGTCACAACAGTGAGCACTAGATTTTTGTTTTTACCTACATCATTCTTCACAAGATACTCTACTGGTAAATAAGATCGCTAAGTGGGGCCTATATGCTGTTTTCTGTGAGCCGGTGGGAGGCTCTATAATGAATTTCTTCATTTTTATTCTTCCTCAATATCAAAATATATTGCACTATGTTTGGTTTGGTTTTCTGTTAATTTCACATACCCCTCAAAGCACTTACTACTGGGTCAAAAGAACATTACGCCAGATATCCCTAAGCGAGGATTGTACCACCCAATCTCATGAAAGTAGAGCTAACTTAAGCTGTACATACTGTAAGTGCATTTCTTTCTTTTTTCTCCCACTTGCACCAAGAAAAAAAAATCTATATTTTATCATACTCTTCCTCTTGTTTTACTTATTTATCAACGTATGAAAATAATCTAAAGGAGCTACTCCCTCCTTCCAACTCACACATTTTTAACTAGACCAGAACAGAGGCACTCTGTTTTGGGTTTAACGAGCTGCCTCTACACTCAACTGCATGCGTTAGAAACCTGTCACCCTTATGTTTTAGGTACTTGCAATACAACTGGCCGTGTTGATGCTTTGCAGGTGGGTAGTGTCACGGCTAAGGTACATAATTCATTGTTGCACTATAGAATATTGCCATTTGTAACGGCTACCCTACTGGAAAGGGGTATCTGCCGTTGGAGACGTCCTTTTCTAGGCAAGCTGCTGTGAAGTAATGGAGTTCTTATTCCCATCCACGATATCCAAGTGTATAATCCGGCATTGCTGTAAAATGAGGCAGAGTAATGGTACCATAAATCCCCTCCAAGAACGAGACGAGGCTACGTTTTGAAGGGTCAAGTAGAACTGATGTTTATTGACAGGGGTCTCCTTTTATGCAATGGTGCCCTCTGAAAGGCTACACCCACATAATTAACACAACAGCCAATCAGATACATGATACAACCCCCACGTCTCCTCCCCTCAGATAAACATATAACATAATTAAAACAGACACAATTTTACCCAAATTCTGGATGTACCCCAAAAACAGGGGGTACACCTTTAAGTCTCTCGCTCAGGGAAACAACATGTCCAAATTTCAGCCCATTCGGTTGAGGGGTTCGGGAGTTATGGATCTTTGAAGTTTTGACCGACCGCACAGGTTTTTTAGCCGAAAAGAGTTCCATAAGTTTTGGCCTTGCGGTCGGTCTCTGTTCATGCATTAAAATCCCACGAACCCCTTGCCATCCACAGTCATCCTGGTGTTTGCTATAATCCATATGTGAGCTTAAGCAAAACTACCGAACGGCCAGTTGTTCGGTAGTTCCAGCACGAAATTACGAGCTCCTGGAGGTCTCAGCGGTGTTCGCCTGTTTGCGTATCCGATTTTTGTTCCATGCGTTCACGGGCAAACACCGCTGTTCGTGCGTAAGTTGGCCGCGAACACGTGTAAAGTCCCGAAATGGCGGCCATCTAACCTTGAGCACAAAGGAATTCGTGTGAAACCATGCGAACGGCTCCAAAAGCGCTGGGAGGTAAAATACCACTTGACTGTTCCCCTGGGTGGTCCGATGTTCGGTATTTTGAGCTGTATTCTCCGGTAAGGATATTTCCACGAAATAGTCATTCGGTTTTTATAATACATCCAGCGGCATTGATATATAAGTCCAGGCAAAAAGCATAGGCAAAAGCATAGTTCTGTTACACCATTTAATGTAATTTGTGTAGTGCATATATGAATTGGCCACTTGGTAGCGTTGAAGGACCAATTCGATTATAGAGGACAGATGTCAGAAGGGGTTAATGTAGATTGTATAGGAATGTGAAAGGGGTCAGATGGTTTACAACATGGATTGATGCTTTGATTAATAAAAGGCTCTGCAATTCTACACTTGCAATGCCTGTATGTCTAGTTCCAATGTAAACTGACCGACCATATGCCCTGAAACTCTTAATTGATAGTTCATTTCTTTGATATGTTCATGGCCATTAGCATTCAAGAAAACCCTTGTGTTCCAGTATCATATCCAAAAGAAACATTAATACTTACCCACAGATTCATAATTAAGCCTCATTTTTATTATATGTAGAATGGGACAAGCACAATCTTCTAATCAAGCCTAAACATGATTTATGCAACTTAAGCCATTTGAGAAGGGATTGTGATGTTTATAGAAACATAGAATGTCACGGCAGATAAGAACCATTCGGCCCATCTAGTCTGCCCAATTTTCTAAATACTTTCATTAGTCCCTGGCCTTATCTTATAGTTAAGATAGCCTTATGCCTATCCCACGCATGCTTAAACTCCTTTACTGTATTAACCTCTACAACTTCAGCTGGAAGGCTATTCCATGCATCCACTACCCTCTCAGTAAAGTAATACTTCCAGATATTATTTTTAAACCCAGAAAAACTTAAATACACATCTCGCCCAACATGGGACTCAAACCTATGACCCTGAGATTAAGAGTCTCATGCTTTACCGAAATTATTATTTCTGTGGCAAGTACAAAAGAGGCGATAGAACCAAAAGTTTATATTTGGATTGATATTCGCCTGGAACACAAGAGTGTGGTCACTTATTGTTTCTATAGGTATGCCTTATCTCCACATCTGTGTCACTGGAGACTTACCCCAACTTGCAGGAAAGTGAAATCCCACAAAAGATGGATCAGAACGACGTATTATCGAGCCTTAGAATGGCCAGACATGACGTATTAAAACAGCAAGAAACAAGGTCAGAAATACACAGAGTTTATACAAAGCCAGGTCAGGATACCAGAAAATCATGAGTCACAAAACAAAGCTGAGGTCAGGATACCTGAACAAAAACAAAATACCATGCAATCAGGTCCTGCACATATGCTCCGGCCTTCCCCCAAGGGGGCGCTCTGTGTATAGGATGGACACCACTGTAGTATCAAAGAAGAGAAACACAGGCAGAACTCCAGGATATAGAAGGTGA